CATGCCACTCTGCTGGGGCTCACTGAGTTCTCCCCTTCCTGCCTCCCTGCTTCCCCAGCCCCTCTTTGCCAGCAGCAGGGCTGGTTCCTGGGGGGGTTTTTTGGGGTTTTTTTTGTTTTGCCCAGCCCTGCTGCCACACTGACAGCTCTGTCAGGTCTGGGCCACCTGGGATGGGATGGGGAGGCCAGGACTGGTGGTGGAGGTCAGGCACCGGACCTTGGCCCCCTGCCACATCCAGGCCAGACTGCCCCTTATCATCCCTCCTATCACAGAGATTATTGGCTTTTGATATTAAACTTTCTCCAGATAGCATAACACCATCAGCCAGACACCAGGCAAGGGCTGGGCAGGCCAAGCAGTGATTTACACACGACCTGCCTCTCAAGTCCCTCTTTCACAGAAGGGGCTGTTTTCCTTCTCTCCTTCACCACCTCCCAACTCTCCTGCTGCTGTTAGGAGCTGTGCAGGTCTCCCTGCTGCAGCAAAAGGTTGGAATGAGCAGTGGGGCTGCACAGGCTCCCAGAGAGCCAGAAGTGCAGCACTCCTCCCCAGAAACATGGCATTGGCAGGGCACAAATGCTTCCATCACCACCCAACCCCAACTGCTGCAGCCCCTGGGACACCCAGGTGCCCCGATGGGATGCAGCAGTTCCAGCACCTCAAGAGTGCTTGTTCTGCACTCTGTGCCCATGGTTCCACGCTCATTTCCAGCTGAAACTGTCTTGCTGCTTGCTCTCAGAGGCAGAAATGTACAGCAGCCCAAATTCCTCGCCTACACCAAGAAGAAAAATGAGAAATTGCCCCTGGATGTGCATAAGGTCCCAGACAGGAATGGCCTGTAGGCAGAAAGGACCTTTCTCCAAGAGCAGCCTTGGTCCAGGCAGGCTTTTTCCAGCTGGTAAAACATTCCTACCCTCTTTGATCCCGTTTTATCAGTGACTTGGAATAATTGGGCTCCATCCCTCGTGGTGACTGCCCCCCACCCCTCCCTTCTGCTGTGGCCTGTGTTTTTGCTGCAGACTGATTAGGGGTAATTATCATCCTTTTTACCAGCCAAAGTGCAAGGAGCAGTTCACACTCCTTGCAGGAAGCAGGAAAGGGATTTTGCAGCTGAGCCGTGATTAGGAAGCACATGGCAAGGATGCCTGAAGCTGCTTGCTCCCTGGGTGGTGTCCCTGAGGCATTTGGTGGGAGATAAGCAGGAAATTTGGAGCTGTGAGACAGTCAGGAGGTCCAGGGGAATCCACTGACCCTTTGGTCATGAGAAGCCTCCCAGCACAATCAGTTTGCAGAAGCAGCAGTGTGAATCCCAGACTGAGCTGAAGGGAGTGACCCACAGGGGCTGGAATGGCCAAAGGAGCAGCTTCGTGAGCACCCAGGTGTGCTGTGGGCATGGCCAGGGCTCAGCACTCTCCCCTCTCTCCTCTGCCTCCCTTGCTGGACGAAGGGAGGAGCCAGATACCGATTTTAGGGTCAAAAGGATCACCCAGGCTCCTGTGAGGCAGATTCCTCCTGCTCCTGTGCACCAAATGCACATTTGCAGCAGTTTCTGAGATTTGCACAGGGAAGAGAGATTACTACACCCTTAAGAGACTTTCTGTACTCGGCTAGTTCAGCAGCACTCCTCCAGGTAGGGAGAACATTTCTTCCTGACCTCAATTTATGACAAACACTGAAGCATGAGGCTGGATTGATTGCACAAGGAGATTGTGTCTTAGTAACTTGTGTGAATGCTGCAGCAGCTATGCTAATTCATCATTCCTCTATTTATGAAATCTGTGTGCAGGTTGAGTGCAATTAAATGATGTGTTTTGGGATCGTAGGGGATGAAAGGATCACAGAAAATGTAGGTTTGTTATCCTAGTTTACTGTGCACTGAGCCCACCTACAACACCATGACAAACCAGATGTGAAACATAAGGTTTAAAAAAACTAATCCAGCAATTGCTGTCACGGGCTGCATTTGTCAGCTTTGTTTGATCTCAGTGCCTTTCCTCCTCTCTGTTCAGAGAACTCAAATCTTGTGGCATCTTCCTGTGACAGGCAATTGAAGAACTTGTAAAATTAATTTTGGGGGAGGATGAAACATTTGACACGTGCTCTGCAGCTGGGTCCCTGGTCCCCATCAGCACCCAGAGAGAGTCCAGACAAATTCTTCCTTTGAATATCACAAGAGAAGGAGGCTCTGCAACCACTCTGGGCAACCTGTGCTGTGTCAGCAGCACAGGAAAGTTCTTCCTCATGTTCAAGGTGGAACTTGCTGTGCATCAGTTTCTGCTCATTGTCCTGTTGCTCAGCAGCTGAGCAGAAACTGCTCCATCCCCTGGCAGTTCCCTTCAGGTATTTATGGATATTGGAAAAATCCCCTCTTGGTCTTCTCCAGGCTGAGCACACCCAGCTCCCTCAGCCTGGCCAGGATCACCTCCCTGACCTGCTGGCAGTGCCTGCTCCCCTCTGGAACTCACAAACAGCTAAGAAATGGGGCCAGAATGGAGAAAAGAGATGGCACTGTGCAATGTCTGCAGTGCTGCCCACACTATGTGTCTGCATCTCCAGGGGCTTCAGGATCCCATTTCCATGGGCTCTTCCCCTCTGTAAACAAATGGGGCTGATCCCTGGGCTCAGCAGGAGCTGCTGCAAATGTGGGCCATGGGAACAGTTGCTCTGGAAGTGGCCTGACACGTTCAGGATCAGCTTTCTGCAGGAGCAAGGACATGGAGCCTGGGGAATTGCACAGCCCACTGGTGGCAGAGCTGAGGGAAATTCCAGGTCTCCTGGGAGCCCTCTGAGCACCAAAACTTTTCCATTAGGGCAGAAAGAGAGGGAATGGATGGACTCTTGTTGCTTGGAGAATGGCAGTTCTGTCATTCTTAAATCACACTTTGATCAGGACTCATCAAAACTCAATGTCTGTGGACCCAAACTTCCCATCAGCAGGAACCAAGGAAGTGGTCCAGAGCTGAGATGCAAATTTTATTGTTCCTTTTCTTTTGGAAAGCTGTGGAAATTTCTTCAGGATCTGCTGGCCTTTAGATTTTGATCCTGCCCAAGAGATGGCAACCGAAACAATAGCTTCCAACACACAGCACCTCGTGGTCCAGAGCAGCCCAGCAATCCCAACCTGGGAACTCTTTAGCAGCCCCAGAGTGTCACCTGTGTCACCCTCACAGCCTGAGGACATGCAGAGGGCTCAGGTGGCTTGCCCAGTCAGGGCAGTGCTGCAGGGTTTTGTAGGAACTTCAGTCTCCTTAAGGACTGTCCAGGAGTTCCAAAGGGCAACAGGTCACAGTGAGAACAGCCACTGTGGCTTGGGTTTTGGTTGTGCTGAGCACTTCTGGGTGCTGAATAATTTTCAGCTGCCAAAGCAAAATGACCACATGGCCTTTGCCAGAGGTGTGTGATGAGTCCTCCTGGCTGTGGGGTACCTGGGAGGGAAAGTAAGAGAATGTAACAAAGGGAGGTCAGCATTGATGCTGTTAAAGGCCAAACTATGAAAAAAAAGAAGTTAGAAACTTATTTTAATTGAGGCAAATAACTCATGGGAATAGCACAGGTATAGGGGAGAAGTTAAGTGGAAAATAGAACCTGTTTGTGAGTATCTTGTGTTTCTGCCTCAGTCAAATTGCCAAGAGGTAAGGACTGGCAGACCACTGCAAGAGCCAGGAAGGCAGGTATGGAACGGCTTCATGGTGCTTTTTTTTTGGACCTTCAAAAAGACTGTTTAGATACAGACCCCAGGCAAGGCAGGGTAAGAGATGCAACCACAGGTGCATGCAAGAGGGGTGTGTGTGTGTGTGTGGAGAGTCCAGGTGGCAGGGATTCTGCTTGGGGCAGGGTCCCACAGGGCACAGGGGGGCTGCTCTGACAGATGAGGCTGCACTGGCAGCACAAGGGGCGGCATGAGGGGATGGATGCTCTGACAGATGAGGCTGCACTGGCAGCACAAGGGGCGGCATGAGGGGATGGATGCTCTGACAGATGAGGCTGCACTGGCAGCACAAGAAGGAGCCCAAGGTGTGGCGTGAGGGGATGGAGGCATCGGGCTGCTGGCTGGAGGACCTGTCCCAGGTCAGCAGGCACCTGGTAGGAAGCAGTGAGGGAAGCTGGGATAAAGGCAGCTCTGAGCCGCCCTGTGAGGAGCGATAGGGAGCTCGGGAGGGCTGGGAGGCGGCAGCCCCAGCTCGGGTGGCTGTGCTGGGACACGGCCGCAGCCTGGAGCACAGGGCCGGCCCGGCGAGGCCTCAGCCTGCCCCTGCTCGGCCCGAGGGCCGGGCTGGCGGGGCCTGCGAGCAGAGCCGCGCCCGTCCCACACAGGTCGGGCCCGGCCCGCTCCGGGCTCCCGCCGGGGCTGCGAGCGGTGCGGGACGAGCCGCAACCTCCGCGGCCCGGGCCCGCCCTGTGCCGCCATCCCAGCGGCCGCCAGGGCACTCCCCGCCCGGCGCGGCCCAACCGCGGGCCGGCAGAGGGCGAGGGGAGGCGGCGGCCCCGCGCCCGGTCACGGCAGGGGCAGGGCCCGGGCCCGGCCCGCCATGGGCGCCCGGTCCGCCACCTTCCCACAATGCTCGGCGGCCCCGCCCCGCTCCAGGAACGCGCGTCCGTGCGCCCTCCCCCTCCCCCCCCGCGCCCGGCCAGCCAAACCCTGCGCTCCCATTGGCCGCGGCGCCGCGTCCCGCCCGTCCGGGCCCGCCCCGCTGCGCGCCGCGCTCTCCCATTGGCCGCCGCCGCCGTCAGTCCGCGCTTGTTTTCGGCGGCAGCGGGTTGGGTTGCGCCGGCTCGTCGGTGTCTCGGCGGAGCCGTGCGGAGGGAGCGGCGGCGCAGCCGGGCGAGAGCGGCGCGGGGGCGGCGGCGGCGGCGCTGGCGCTGGGCCCGGCCGCAGCACTCGGGGCCGGGGCGAGGCCGGGCCGGGCCGGCGCCGCGCAGGGCGGGAGGGTGGGGAGGGAAGGGGGCGCGGGACGCGGGACCGGGCCGGGCCGGGCTCCCGGCCGTGCGGAGAACGGTGGTCGGTGCCGGGGGGGTGGGGGGGTGGGCGGGGGCGTCCCGGCCGCGACGCGACCATGACTCTGGAGTCCATGATGGCCTGTTGCCTGAGCGACGAGGTGAAGGAGTCGAAGCGCATCAACGCCGAGATCGAGAAGCAGCTGCGGAGGGACAAGCGCGACGCGCGCCGCGAGCTGAAGCTGCTGCTGCTGGGTGAGGAGCGCGCCGCCGCTCCGGCCGCGGGGCCCGGCCCGGCGCTCCGCGGGTCCGGCGGCCGGGCCGGGCGGGGAGCGGGTGTGGCGGGGAAGCGGCGGGAGCCATCCCCGCCTGAGCCCGGCGCTCGCGGCCGCTCCCGAGCCGTGCGGGGCGGCCGCCTCATTGGCTGCCCTTTGTTTGATTTTGTGATGCGTTCGCTGTCAAAATGGGTTTTGACACAACCAGGAACTAAGTGGCTGAAATTCCTGGTGGGGAAGGCGGGCACGCACGGGGGCGCGTGAAATTTGTGTGGAGGAAACGATTCTCGGGGAGTGTGCTGGCCTGGGTTAGCGTGTGGCAATCCGCTGGTGGAGTTGGTGCTTTTCAGGATTGTCGGTGGACGTGTGTGGAAAAACGGGCCTGCAGCTCCTGAAGCACGGAGTTTCCCCTGGGGCAGGAGCTGGAGAGGCAGCGGGGCTGGGAGCGCGGCGTGCTGGCTCTGGAGGGGGACGAGGCAGTGGAATGCGGAGTTGTGCGCTGGCTGAGGAGATGCCCGCGCTGTTCAGAGGTGCAGATCACCTGTGCAGCCCAGGAATCTAGGTCTCCGGGTGGGAACAGGAGTGTTCCCTGTGCTGATGGGTAACTGTGCCGTGTTCAGATGAGTTTACAGGGATGGGAAATCGGCTGCAAACTGAGACTCGCAGGCATGTGCCTCCTCCTTCAGCAGTGAGTTTGATGTTCTTCCCTAGATAGCCCCCAAATTTAAACTTCAGTTTCGGTTTTCATGCATGCTGTGATTTAGCACCGCTTGTGTGTCAGATAGATCCTGCTTTGTGTCTTGAATACTGTATTATCTTGAGATGAAATCTGAAGCAGACCTGATGGATCTGTTGACAAGCCATTAAGGTCCAGATGAAGAAGGAGGCTAACCCTTGTTTAAAAAAAAAAAAAACTATTTGCAGAAGTGGGGAGAGGCTGTGTGTGCCCAGCCCCTTGGAGGCTCCAGTACCCCCACTGGTGCCAAGTAAACCCCAGGGCTTTCCTTCTCACCCTGAATCCTTCACAATTAATGGATTGCTGTTCTTTGTGTGAAAGCTAAAATCGAGGGCTTCACATTTCTGCTCTTTGGAGATGCTGTGGCAGTTTCTGTGAGGCTTCCTGGAGAGGAGGGAAGGTGTCCCTCACTCTCATGCTTCCCTAAAAGCAGTCCCACAGAAGCAGCTGTGTCAAAATAGGTTGTCGCTATAGGATAGATCTGGGTTAAGAAGATCCCACTGGATCTAAATATTTCACTTTAGAAATAATTCAAATTGCTCAAGAATCCTTTCTGCTTTTCTAAAAGATACAGATTCAGCATTAGACTAAAAAAAAGCATATAGAAGGTGGTTATTGTTGGATAAGCAACACTCCTAGGTGTAGACAATTTTTGCAGGATGCTTGTCACTGGACACAGCACGTTGCCCACCTTCAGCTGGCACAGGTGACCTGTGTTCTCTCTCCCTGCTTGCAGGGATATCTTCCGTGTTGCTCCTGTTCTATGGAGTTCTTATATTCACAAGGATTAATGATTGACTTAGTGAGAGGGCTTTCCCAAAATCTCCAAAATTTTGAGTGTGAGGAGGGAGTTTCCACCTTGTAGAAACGGTTAAATTTTTCCTGTCACTACATCTGGTGACAGTTACTTTGTTGAAGCCTTAACCAGAAAATTGAGGTGAGGAATAACAGTACTAATCAATGATGAACCTGTTAATAAGAAATTCAAGGTGTTGGACATTGCCATCTGGTACAAGGTAGTAATTTGTCTTTTTACTGGATGGGGAGGATATTTTGTACAAAATTACTTGTGATTAAGCATGGGTTACTGTTGACTGAGCAGTGTATTTACTAGGGGATCATTAGGAAGTTACTGTAAACTCCGCTGCTTTCACGAGTTGGCAGATGAAGTGGTGAATTCAGATTATCTCCTATCATATTAAAAAAGGATTTTGCGCCCTGAGAGTTGTAGATCTTGCCCACCAGAGCTCGTAACCTGCTGGTGTAGTACTGTGCCTCAGGGAAAGCAAAAGACAACTTAAAAAATCCCAAAACCAAACCAAGAACCCACCACCAATAACCAAAACCAACCCTCAAACCAAAAAAGGGCAGTGATGATGGAGTGATAGGAAGAATCTGTGTTTGAACTCTTAAATCCTGAAGCAAGCCAAGGTCTGGTGCTGAGGTTTCTCTTACATTTTCATTGTTGAAATGCTTTGAAGCACCACCTTTTTTTTTTTTTTTCTCAGTTTTGGTCACTGTGGTAAAAGACAAGGAAGTATTTCTCACCACACTGACAGAAACCACAAAAGATCTCAGTTTCCAGTTTTTTCCCCACTTAGGGTGCACCTTTGTGTTCAAGATGGAGATAGTTTGCTGCATATTGATAATGTCTACAGTGTTAATTTCTGGCTGTGCTGACGTGATTTCTGTCAGTTCTTCCTGTTCATTTCGAGCATTCTGCTTCTAGTTAGGTGCTTGTTGCTTTTATCTGAGCATTTTTATTTGTTTGCCTTTTAGCCTACCAAGATAAAATGAGTAACTGAGTAGCTACATGCGAGTATTAATTGTGTACTGGGATGAATGAAATCCTGTCTGAATCCATCTCTCCCCTGGTGTGAGGAGGATCTGGTGGTGCCTGTGGAGAGAGCCAGGGCTCTGCCAACATTTTAACTCCAGGTCAAAAGGATTTGTATCACTGACATGATATATTTTGAGTTTTTGGTCTCTCTAGTCAGGTGAGCTGGGCCACTGTGCTAGAGAGGTGTGAGTTTTTTATCAATATCCTGCATAATGATAGCAAATTTTAGAAGATTGAACAAAAGCACTCCACAGAGACATAGTGCTGTCCATTTAGGCTGCTGAAATGTGGAGGTGAGCTCATCCCAGGTGAGACCTGGCCTGGGTGTCCCCTCCACAAAGGACTGTGTGCACGGGGCCATGTCACCCAGTTGAATTGTGAATTTAGCAAGGCTCTGTAACTGCTTGGATGCCGTCTGATGGCGTTTTTTTCCCCTGTTAGAAAGTTCCCACTGTCCTTTGGTATCATCTGGTGGCCTTCACATGCTGAGTGACACTCCTGTGGGGCCATAAATGTAGGAGTGGAAGGACCTGCCCGAGTGACGGTGCAGGAAGCGCTGCCCTGCGCCGTGTCCTGCCCTCCCATCTGCTCCCAGCCCGGCAGTAAAACCTGAAAAAGAAGGAAGAGAAGGAAGCAGTGGCCTTGCTGAGCAGGCTGCAGCCCGTGGGGACCCAGGCACGGCACCGACAGCTGGAGCAGTGGCCTACTCTGCTCTCCCTGCCAGACGCCATTTTTAACTCCCTCGCATCCAGAGCAGGAGCGCAGCAATCCTGCCACAGGCAGGGCTGTGGGCTCAGCCCTGAGGAGCAAACCTCCGGGACACAAGGCACACGTGCTGCCCGGGCTGTTCACATGGATAAGCAAAGAGTTTCTTGAGCTCCCTTCTCCTATAGAGTTGATTCATTTTTTTTTTTCCCCTGTTGTGTTTGGTTCTTTCCTATGAAAAGACACGGCGTGTATAAGGCAAAGAACGTTTGGTGCCAAATTAGAACAAAACAAACTTTGCTGTTTACTGGGCTTCTCCTGGCCATTCACTGCTGGGGCTGTAGCACTTTCCTGGCCCTTCCTGGCTGGTTGTAGCATCTTGCTGGAGTATCTGGGAATAGGTCAGGTGTGACGGGCAAGGGCCTCTTGACGCAGGACGTGTGGGAGTGGCTGTAACGTGAGATTTGGAATAAGTACCAGAGCGACTTTTGAAGGCTGCTGTAAAGGACAAGGTGTCTTCCTTCCATGCTGCTGGCTTCGTAGCAGAGATGAACAATCCAAGCTGTCTTTTACCCGTCTGGGAAGTGACAAAAAGGGAGTTGGGAGCGGTGTGTGCTTGGGTGTGGTGATAGGAGCTTTCATCTGTCGTGGGCTTTGCTGCTGGTGGCTCCTAACTCCCTCTCTTGCATCCTGTAGGCACTGGGGAGAGTGGGAAAAGCACGTTCATTAAGCAAATGCGTATAATTCATGGCTCAGGCTACTCTGAAGAGGACAAAAAAGGCTTCACCAAGCTGGTGTACCAAAACATCTTCACTGCCATGCAGTCTATGATAAGAGCCATGGAAACCCTGAAGATTCTGTACAAATATGAACAGAACAAGGTAAGTTTGTCAGTTTTTGCACATATCTTTAGTCAGTGAGGATTTTGAGTTTTTGTTTCTTCGTGTCTTTCTGCATTGCAACCTCCCTGAACTCTTTTCTATAAACTATTTATGACATTTTTTTGATGCTCAACTCCTTTTACTTGGTTGTGTTAAAGGATAGAGCAACTCTGCATGGTTGGTGCACTCGTGTGCCTAGGGAGTGGTGGGAGCAAGGGATTGGGATATAGGAGGGGTGGTATTTTTACTCATTTCAAGGATTCAGGGTTGTTAAATTTGTTTTTGGCATTTTCTTTGTGTGTGTTGCCATTCTTATTGGAACTTGAAGCTGGCAAAATACATGCTGGACTCAAAAGACACAGACCTGTGCTGGTAGTTACCCCTGTTTCTGCAATCCTTCTGTTTTTCTGATAGGTTTGTACCCTTGGTCAGTAGCTTTCTTAAAGAATTTTGGTCTCAACCACAGAAACATACTAATTTTGCAACCAGGAATTAATTTTAGATATATCTGATCTAAATTATTTTCTCTTTTTGAGGGGGAGGACAGTTGAGAGTGAGGGCATGCCAGGAAAATAGATTTTTTTTTTTTTAGCATATTTTGCTTTTTTAATGCTTAGTATCTTTAACATTTTGAAGTTGTGTTTTATCTGACCTATCACACAGTGTCTTGGAGCTGATTTTGAATAATTGTTTGTAGGGATTAGATGGTGCCCCTTTCCTGTCTGTGGTGAGAATAGGCAGAGTGTGAGAAAGCTTTGCCTGTGCTTTATGTGAGGCATGGTGGAGGGGTTCTGAGAAATAAAATCTGCCAGCTTTTGCTTGCTATAACTTATGCAGAACTTCCCTTTGGTTTTTATTTATTGGGGGTATTGGCAGAAGCCCCTAGGTGTGGATAATCACCTCACAGACACCACAGGCTGTGGTAGTTACTGGAGTCCTTCCTTTGCTTACCCATTGTAGGGTGGGTGCTTTTATGCCCCCAGTTTTGGAGTTGGTTTTTTTTTTTTTTTTTTTTTTTTTTTTTTTTTTACTTTATTTTCATCTTCTTCTTTTCAATCTCCAGGCCAATGCAGTGCTGATCCGAGAAGTGGATGTAGAAAAGGTCATGACATTTGAGCAGCCATATGTAAGTGCAATTAAAACATTGTGGAATGACCCTGGAATACAAGAGTGTTATGACAGGAGAAGAGAATATCAACTTTCTGACTCAGCTAAATAGTAAGTGTTCAATCACTGGCATGCTTGTGGTGGGAGTGATGCTCTAATAAATTATACCTGTCCACATTTTATTTATTAAAGTCCAGAGTTTATTTCCATATCATTTGTTGCTTTTCCTGAGAGCCTGAGGTGTTCTGGTGGATGTTGAAGGGTGTTCATACATCTGCTTCAGGATATACCTGAGGCCAGGATCTCCACATTATTCCATCTTTATTGATCCTGGCTCCTGGGCAGCAGGAGTGCTGCTCTTTCTCACCAAGTTTGCCTTTGGCTGATGTGGATGTGTCACTCAGTTTTTATTAATTATAAATCCATTAAGTTTGGTAATGTACAGAGGATGTTTCTACATTTATAAGTAGAAAACCTCAGATGAGACTTGATCCTGAAACATAAAGCATCTGCTGTGGTTAAACTTCCTCTGTAGTAAAGATTGTCTTCCCCACTCCTATTCAGGGTTGATAAAGTTGTTTTTAGTGTATCTGTTTATCCTCCAAGGGGTCTGGCTGGCGAATTACTGTTCCCCAAAAACATTTTCTGTTAGTTTTCCACACCACATTTAAAATCATTCAGACAACTTCTGCCTTTCTCATTACTCTACAGAAAGACTTCATGTAGCAGTTTGTACGTGTGTATCTTTATGTGCTGCAACCTAAGGTAGTTTTTCCCTTTTCCTTTGTTATTTTTTTCCACTGTCCTGCTTGCAGCTATCTCAGCGATGTGGATCGTATTGCCACCCCAGGATATCTACCAACTCAGCAAGATGTGCTACGGGTTAGAGTCCCTACAACCGGGATCATAGAGTACCCCTTTGACCTAGAGAATATTATCTTCAGGTACTGGAGGTGTCTTCATGTTACAGCTGAGCTGGGGCAGCAGGGAGATGCTTTCAGGAAGGAAAACTTGTGGTTTGTGTGTCCAGATGGTTTGAGTGGATGTGTGATGGGTGCTGCTCTAATTGGAGTGGTCTGATGTTTTGGCTGTCAGAAAATTCAAAATTCAAAACTCAACCTGCTTTTGAATCAGTGACACTTCAAACTCATTGTCCTTCTTGGGAAGGATTGCCCTGCTGAAATTGTGGCTTGTGAGGCAGCTGAGGGATGTGTTGAGAGCTGAAGCCACCAAGGGCTGACATTTTTTGTGCAGAAATGCTTCCCTGTACCCAGCATTTTGAGAGCTGGTTTTCTGTGCCTACCTTGTGCTCTCAGGGTGGCACCAAACCTTGCTGCCTGTGCTGCTGCAGCAGCAGAGGGTCTTTGCAGGCTTAAGCCAGCACCTCAGCCTGGCATGACCAGGCTGAACTCTGCAATATTCCTGTGCTGCTCTCTGGTGCTTGGGTGCTCTTTGCCCTTCCTAACCAGTGTGGCATTGCCAGGGAGGAGTAAAAGAACCTGCATCCCCTCTCTGAAACCACTTAGTTATGAAATGCAGAAGTCTCCTCTCCCTGTTCTATTTTGCTGACCTGGGGAGTAGGTGTAGGATTTTATCAAAGGTGAACCACGTGTGGCACTTGAGGCGAGTGCCAAAATAACTTCAGTGTACTGTACAGGTGGGACTTGAAACTGAGAGGCTGAAGTGTGTGACTGTTAAACAGCACATTCCAACAAAAGTGTAACAACTAAAGAAAGATTTGGGTGGGGGAGAAGCTTTGAGGCAAGCAGGTGCTTTAATTAAAAATAAAAATAGTTTGCTCATGTGACAGAGCACAGTTTTGAAGGACTTGTCTTTTCAGACTCAGGGCTGCTGCTGAGCAAACCAGAGCAGAATGCAACAAAAATGGTAAAGGGTGAATTTGGCATCACTCACCTGTGGCCATTCTTTCAGTTTGCTGTATTTCTGGAATGAGGTATTTTGTAAACTTGCTGGTTTTATTAACAGGCAGATACTGTCACAGGCAGATACTGTCACATCCCTGTGCCAGGTTAACTGGAATGGTAAAGAACCAAATTAATTCTCATTATTTGCTGGTCCTTTGCATTCAGAGAACTGCAGCTACCCTTGTGATACTCAATGTACTTCTCTTCCTTAGAATGGTGGATGTTGGAGGTCAAAGATCAGAACGAAGGAAGTGGATCCATTGCTTTGAAAATGTGACTTCCATCATGTTTTTAGTAGCACTTAGTGAATATGACCAAGTTCTGGTGGAATCAGATAACGAGGTGAGCCAAAGAATGGGAACTCTGCAGGAGGGAGGAAGGAGAGGAGGAAGAAAGGAAAAGAGGGAGGAGTGTCTTTGTAGTTTCTTGAAGGCTGGTACCCAGGTGCTTGGTGCCAAGTTGGATTAGCTACTGTTAGTGGTTTTGACCTTCAGTTCTTGTTGCAAAAGGAACATGGGCTTCCATGGGTCATGATGTCCCTGAGGATGGAGAAGGCAGAGGGCATTCAAATCATCTGGACAAATGAAAAATGAAATTACCTGAAGTTGCAGACTCCCTTGTGCCATGGAGGGCACTGTACAAGTGCTCCCAAAACACCCCTTCCCCTTCCTGCACTGAGTTACTTTAGGTTTTGCTGTCTTGTGAGGTGGTGACTGCACTCCTTGAAGGTGCAAATCTGAATTTTGGCACTTGCTAATAGATCAAAAGCATGCTATTAGATAACAATTGTTGCTCTTTTTGTAGTAGACAAAATACGCTCACAAAGTATCATTGGACAGTCCTCTCACATGACTGTTAAAGCATAAAATGACTTTTAAGTCTTTTGGTGTGAAAGGCTTGGCAAATAAATGAAGCTTGAGTCCCTCAGATTTTGCATTTCCTTTCCATTTACTGATCCAGCTTGAACCAGAATCTACCTGGGCCAAAGTATTTTGTGTATAATGTTTTGAGAAGCTGAATTACTACAGATCTGAGTGCATGTGCAGGCAGCAGAAAGGCATTTTAGTGCTCCTCTGTGAAAACAGGGCTTTCTTTTTTTGATTTCAGAACCGGATGGAAGAGAGTAAAGCTCTCTTTCGAACCATTATCACTTATCCATGGTTCCAAAACTCTTCTGTTATCCTCTTTCTCAACAAGAAAGATTTGTTGGAAGACAAGATCCTGTATTCCCACCTTGTTGACTATTTCCCAGAGTTTGATGGTGAGTGGCTTTTAAGAGGGAGCACTTGATGGGATGGGGATAATTGGGTTAAAACTTACTTGTTTTTTAAAGAACACTCAGATCTAGAAGTGGAGAAAGCATTAATTGGAGAAAGAATGTCTACAGCAATAAGAAAACATCACAAAAATATCTTAATCATGCATGGAGACAAGTGGAATCTGATAGGATGATCAAATAATGAGCCTCTCCTAGATGAAGAATTGCCCCCTCCAATATGTACAAAATGCACAATGGAAGTCTAATTTATACATAAAACTAGTTTCATACCCATGGTAGTTTACTGGTATTCTGAACCTTTTAATCCTCTAGTCAAGAGGTGACTTGAGTCTTTGTTTTGAGAAACCAACTGGTCAAACACCCAAATTGTTTAAATGATGGTGCTAAAAAATCTTCCTGCAGCTTGAAATTCTTATTAGCGTGCCATCTGCTGTTGTGGGAAAATAATATCTATGCGAAACAGAGAATTTCCCATCTGAAACAAAATTCCTTAACCAAAATATTATTTCAGGCTCTTCAGCTGAGTGCTTTTAAAGCTGGCTGGTAACACATCTGTACAGGGCTGAAAATAAAATCAAAGTGGTGGAGAATGAGATCATTTCTTGCCATGCTCTCATGTATTAATTCTGTAATTATTTGCTTAAAAAATATGAGGTAAAGGAAGAATTACCATCTTGCAAACAGCTTTCATCTTTTAGAGGACCAATGAAATTGCTCTTGGTGTGTCCTCCCACATCTGGAGTTCCTGCTTGGAGCTCTGGTGGGAACACCAAGTTTTTCCAGCAGGCTGGGATTGCCTGAAGAGCTGCTTCCCAAACAGGGGATGGAGTTTGTTGGGTTCCAGACTTCAAATGGGTCTTCAACAGCTGGAGGCAGATCCCAGCTTCCAGGGGTGTCATGTACTTCCATTTCTTCCTACAAGTAGCTCCTTCAAGGATGCTGCATGGCCTGTAAGTGGGAGGTTGCCCATCAGATGTCCTCTCAAGAGATGAGGTTTGCCATGCAACAACAGCAGTCCTGTGAAAGGAATTGCAGTAGGTTACTATTTTCTGGGGACCTGTCAGCAATGTGAATTAAAAACTAGCCAAAATTCCCATTTTTAGCTCCTGTGAGGTGACCAGCTGGATCAGACTGACTGCATTTTGACTGGCAATAACCCTTGTTTCTAAAATACACACTTGTGTCTTTCAGCCTGTGAGATCCACCTGTATATTAGGAAGAAATGTACACCCTATTTCCATGGGAGAGCATTTAGTGGTGTCTGTCCAGCATCTGCCACTGTTTCCCAGTGGATGCTCCCACCCTGGGTTGTTCCAAGGTGTGAATTCCAAAGCAGGGTCTGAACTGACCCATCAGTGTCTGCAAAGTGCCCAGTGCCCTTGTGGGATTTGGTTAGACAGCTGAAAAGCACGAGACACTTCAGCTCTTGGAACTTTGATCCCATAAATGATCTTAATTTCTTCTTTAGAGCTCTGTAACCCATAGGAAAGAAGTGCTGCTGGATGTGGGGGATGCATGGGAGTGAATCCATTCACTGGTGTCTCTGTTTGCTGCAGGCCCACAGAGGGATGCACAGGCAGCCCGTGAGTTCATCCTCAAGATGTTTGTGGATTTAAATCCCGACAGTGATAAAATCATCTATTCCCATTTCACATGTGCCACAGACACAGAAAACATCCGTTTCGTCTTTGCAGCTGTCAAGGACACCATCCTACAGCTCAACCTGAAGGAGTACAACCTGGTTTGACCTGTTCTGCTCTGGCCCCTTGAGAGGCTTCTTTGTGAAGAAAAGACAAAAAAATGAAATTTTAAATATGACAGGAAAAAAAAAAAGTTTTAATTTTTGATGATGTAATGATTGCAAATTGTCTGATCTGTGGAGTGGCAAGTGCTCGGTGTTATCCTGGAGTCTCATGTCTCTGTCCACAGAGTAGTTGATTTCATATTTTTAACAAATTGCTTTTATGTCACAGTTAACGGGGATATGCCTCATTTCTTCAGCACCTTGCTTACTTCTTAATTTTTGCCAAGCAGCTAAGGCAGCCTCATCTTGATCTTTCCTTTGTTGCTAAGCCACTTTTTTTTCCCCCGCCCTTTCATTCCCGTGGTATATGTAGAGAAAAACAAAAATCCCCAACACTTTCCAGCTGAGATTGTGAATTCACTGGACTGTGGGAGTGCAGAATGCTACTGGTCCCTTTGCCTTGTGCTATAGGGTGCCTCTGGTATAATTTGCTAATCCTGCTTCCTTCCCCTCCTTCTTTCCCTTCCCCAGGACACGCTCCATGGTTCACTGTGATGAAATGTTGGGGAGGAGCGATTGCTCTCCAACTTTTGTGCAAAAAAAAAAAAAAAAAAAAAAAAANAAAAAAAAAAAAGAAAAAGGCAAAACAAACAAACAAAACAACAAAAAAAAAGCCATCACTTTTCCATTCTTTATATGTTCTGAGTAATTTTTTGTTATCAATTATAAAAGGTATGGAGACTGTGATTTTTTTTTTAAATTATTGATGTTCTATACATAGTTTGCTATGTGTTGCTGTATTTTGTTCATGGACTACAAATGATGGAAGCTCTTGGAGCAATAGCTGCTGAGCCTGGGGAAGTGCCTGACTGTAATTGTTCTTTTTTTATTTCATTTTTATTGCTTTTTTTTTTTCCCCACACACACAAACACATCCCACCCACACCACAAGCGCGTGGCCGTGTGCGCACAAGGCTCAGTCTGCAGAGAGGAACTGTTTTTTGGGTAGAGTTTTTGACATCAATGTGCAACCTCTCTATGCAGCAGTTACCAAAAGCACACTGAGTGATTGTGGCATTCCAACATCAGACTTTGCCTGGATTGAAAACCTTAGTCTTGTGCCATCCTCTAGGTCTTTTTTTGCTGCCTAATAGCAATCAAGCCTTGTTCTATTGCATTTTGTGCCAGTGTGTGAATGACTTAGTAAGAATTCCTCAGCCTTGTCCAGCTTGCAGAGTTTGAGAGGACCAGAGCTGGAGGGTGACAGGCTCTGCTAGGATTCTTACTCGGGCAGCTTGAGGATAGCTCTTGGAGGGAGCAGCAGTTCTGTCTCTCCTGTTTATGCATTCCCCTGAGGCACACGCTGCTGTGTCCCTCCTTGGAGGAGTATGGGATCCTCTTTGGAAGACTTGCACACATCCTTGCTGCAGGGTGCCTGTGGTCGTTATGTCAGCAGTGGTTAATTGTTGGCAGTGGTTAATTGGTGGCAGTGGCTGCTGCAGAACCCAGAGAGCCCTGCCCTGGCTGCACTTGGTGCAGCAGGAGATGAGGAGAGAGGCAGCAGCACTAGCTGGAAGGCAGAGTGGAAGTAGTTCTGGATTCTGGATGCCACCTGAATCTCCACTGAGCAGGAGGAGATGAAGCCTTTGCACATAGGAGAGCTTTATTTTGCAGGAGCTGAGGCAAGTCAAGGTGCTGAAGGGCTGCTGCCAGCCTGGGAGAAAGAAATGCATTGGCAAGGCAGGGAGAGAGAGAGTGGGAAGCAGGAGGTGTGACCCACGTCTGGACGTGTGTCAGTCAGCCATCACTGATGCTTCTGTTTCAATTCCAACAAGTAGCATTGGGTCCAAATTCTCTGGATCGACCAGATTGCCCCCTTGAAGGCTGCCAGTAGAAAAAAGACTAAACGAGCTGCACTGTTGAAGGGGGCTGTTGATATTTTGTCTCTTTTGTAGACAGAGCACTACATCAGTGTTTTGCACAACGTTGTAAGAGTAAATCTAACTGTCTGAGATGCTTAAGATGCTTTGATCTAGAACACTAAACTATGGAGGGACATAATTTTGAATAATTCTGTTGATAGGTCCCTCATTTTCCAGAGTAGCTGAGCGAAGCCTCTGTGTGCTCAGAGCACTACAGAGCAAAGCAAGCTCTGCTCCAGGTGATTACAGAGCTCAAGTTGGAACAGTAGCCATGGGACCAACAGTTGAAGAGCCAGTCTGAGTGGTGATGCTGAGGGAAACATAGCATCTCTTTAGACTAGCCATGCTCTGGACTGCATTTAAACCCTTGGGAGGAATGAGGAGGGATTCCCATGTGTCAGACAGCTTTGCATCAATTTTACTGCTTTTTTTTTTTTTTTTTTTCTTCTTTATGCCAAAATGATCCAGTTTGTAGAAATTGTCTTATAAAGAGGAATTTATAATCATCTTCATGTATTCTAAGTGCTGTTCCTCTGAAGCAGATGGCAGCACCAACCTCTTCTGCTTCTGTGATCCTTTTGTAAATGGTTCACACTACAGCTGTTGCCAGCAATGAGCCTGGCACTGAGATACACAGGTTCTTGGAAAATAACTTCCCAGAAGTTTCTCTTTTCCAAGGTGAATGATGGTGGTACTTCCACTTGAATCAGAAACTTTTTTCGTCTTGTTTTGTACCTTCCCCTTTCTTGAAGAGCTGCTGCCCTGGCACAGGAGGAGGGATCATGGCATCTGTCTCTTGCAGAGTGACTCTGCATGGTGGCAGGCAACTGTGGGAGGCTGTGGGCACAAGGATTTAGGGAATGTGCTGTACCTTGTGGGGCACCTGCTTGGGGTGGCTGTGGGCCTGAGAAGTGGCTCAGGGGAGGGAGGGTGCTCAGCTGAGTACTGAAACCTCCTCCTGGACTGGGGTAGGAACGGGTCAGACCTGTACACGTCACCTGGAGTTGTCTGTGACTGTATCATGTGTGAGAAGATACCAGTGTTAGCACGTGCTTTCCTTAGTGAGCAGCTGCTTGTGTGCCTCCAGCTTGGCCAGTGAAGTGTTCCTGCAGAACTGGCTCCTGTCTCTGTTGGCTGGCAAATGCCTGCCCTAGCAAAAGTGCCAAACCTTAAAACCAAATTTGCCTGTATCAACCTTGCTGAAAGTGAAACCTGTCAGAATTCTCTGCAGGTTGAGTGACTTTCAGAAGAGAGGTAAAATTGGGTTGTTGCAGGGAATCCAGAGTCTGAGGAGTTGCTCTCCTTGCTAACCTCTGCTCCTTGTGCACTTTTTAATCTTTGTTCTGTTGAAGAAACCAACCTACTTGGAACTAGTTTGAAACTTGAAGTCAGTGAGCAGAGGACCATCCCTTTTCCTTGCACCATTCCATGTGGATTGGCTATCTGGTGAGCAAAAGCCCCTTCCAGCTGCAGCGTGTCAGCTCCTGCCCTTCCTGCCTCCCCCTTCTCCTCGAGTTGGATTCTTTGGTCTCTTGTTGTTGCTTCCTAGCAATGTTGGCCTTGCGTTCAACTATGGTTTTTCTTCATGTGTTTTATTGGTTTAAAAAAAAAAAAAAAAAGACAAAAAAATAATTTAAAAAAAACAACAACAAAAAAAAACCAAAACAAAAAGGCAAAAAAAAAATTACTTCCGGAGTGTGCTGACCATTGTATTGTCCTGTACAGAGCCCAGGTCGTTAGAGTCCAGCAGAGATAAAGTGTGTTATGCAGCACCCAGTTTTTTAAGAGTATGGTTTGTGCCAATGCCCCTTCTTTAGTAGTGCCAGAGACTCTTTACAAGTGCCAATGTGGTGGAAATTATTTGGTTATACTTGTATATTATAGGATCCTGATTTAAGACAATTTAAACATTATCCTATTTAAAAAGAATACTATATAAAATGCTGTTTTTAAACCTTGTCATTTGCAATGCATGTATTGTTGTGCGTGTTGGGGGGCGGGGAGGGAAGAGGGTAGGGTAAAGGAGTTTCTGAATAAGATGCCCAGTGTCAGGATCTATTCAGACTCCAAACTGTCTCATTCCAGTCCAGGAGTGTGATTGTTTCTTGGAATGATCCCACTCTGACTGCTGGGCAACACGCTTATTACAGAAATATCTGATGGAAATTGATTTTCATATCTTTCTCCTGAAATAAACTCTCTGTTTGAAATTGGAATAAATTTTGTTCCTAAAAGCCGTGGTGATTGTGTGTGTGTGTTTCTTCTCTTCCTCCTTGGTACCCTGTGGGATCTGCAGCTCTGCCTCCTGTCAGAAAATCAAGATTCTGAGGCATGGAAACAAAGCATGTTTTTGTAAATAAAAGGCATAATAGGCCATAATTATATATAATACACTGTACCATTAATTCTGAAATGTGAGCAGAGTCTGACTGGGGGTTTAAGGTGCAGGGGTGCAATGGTGACATCTTGATTTGAAGTTTTCCAGGATTCTGGGGTAGGATTGCTGAGGGAAGTTGATGTTTGCTGCTGCCTCTTGCCGTGGTCTCAGCCCGCTGCAGGCACAATTCCAAGCAGGATATCTGTTGCCAATAGCAGGAATGTTGGTGGGACCAGAACTGCTTCCAGTCTTGTCTCTTAGAAACGTGGACTGAAATATGAAACATGGCTTAAAATCATCCCTGAAGGAGTCCAGGGCTGGATGACCATGAAAACTTCCACAAAGAGATTTCCTGAGATGGAGTTTATAGAGCTTAATTCCTTTTCTCTGGGCTCATTCTCCAGGAATGTTGCATTAAATCAGCTGGGAGTGGGTAGAGATGGCCAATTTCCTCTATGTAAAGGTTTCCTGTGTTTTCAGGAAGCTGCAACTGAGGATGTTCTGCTCCCTCCAAGGTCACTTCTCACAGGTGAAGCTGCAGCTCCTGGGCAGCCTGAAACATTTTGTTGGCTCCCACCAGGAAGGGAACAGTGGTGTGGTGGCCAGAGCACTGTCAAAGGACTTAAATTGTCCCTTTTTTAGTTTTGAATGAGTTTTTGTTTCTTTTCTCAGAGGCTCTGTCCCCTCACCAGCTGGGGAGCAGTCGGTGTTGTCTCCTCAGTCACGTCTTGTGCTGTTCTCTGCAAAGAGCCAAACGTGCTGTGTTTAAATAAAGCAAAGCAGCAAGTTGAGGCTCTCCAAGGAAAAAGACGAAGCCTTTAACACCCAGGATTTCCAGCTGGCTGTAAAGACCTGGTGTTTTGGCCTTTTGCAGCCTCCAGGTGTGCATGGGGCTGTCCCTGGAGCAGCCCAGGGAAGGAGGCAGCTGTTGGCAGCAGCCCACGAGCAGCAGGCTCACACTTGCTGCTTTCCCAAGGACCACTCCAGCCCTGATGCCTTGTGAAGGCTGACCTAGAACAGCTAAAGAATAAAGCAGGGATTTATCAGGAGGCCTCAAATAGATCCAGCTTGGGCAGCACAACCCAAAATGGTCACAAAATGCACGATTGCTCATGGGGTCTCTCACTTTTATAAGTTCTGCTCCATTTGCATATTGGAGTTCATTGCCTAAATCCAGCTTTAAGAAGTCCCATCCTTATTTTCTCTCTTCATTCCACAGTGTTTGTGCTCTTGGGCTGAGATTTGGATCATTTGTCCTTGGTCCCCAGCTGGAGCAGGAATTGTTTTCTCTTCTGCTCTGTGCAGAGAGCTCACCATCCCCTACTTTGAGGCCCAGACCCACACACTAAAGCAGCACAGAATCTGAAAATTATAAAAACTCAAGCCTGAAGCATCAGCCTGGGCTGGAAAAAGCTTTCCCAGCAGCACAGGGTTCCTCCTCACCTCCAGCTCCACAGCTGGGGCCAGAAGCTCTCAGCTCCTCCTACAAGGAGAGGTCCTGGGAACATGGGAGGCTGTGTCATGAGGCCACCTCCACTGCCTGGAGAATTCCTTTGGCCTCCAGCCTGTTCCAGAGGGAGGGACTGGGTAAAAAGGGCTGCCAGGGCTGGGCTGTGGGCCAGGGGAGTGTCCTGATAAGGTGAGCTGGCCCAGGGACTGGGCTTGTGGCAGTGCTGCAAATCACTTTAAACCTGGCCACTGATGTCCCTGCCAAGGGCAAAGCAGGTCCTTGGGGTTGTACACATGGGTAAAGCAGACATGAAAGAAATAAATGTTCATATTAAAAAACATCCCATGTTCAAGAAAAGGGCAAAGAAGAGAGAGTTTGGGATTTGCCTTGTCCTCGGACAACCATCATCCTCCCAGCAGGAGGAAGCTCTTTCCTTTGAGCATTCCCTTTGCCCCTGGGGAAGAGAGGGAAGGATCTGTCCAGCATAAGAGTAAAATGTCATGTGGAATTTATAAAACAGAAATATAAAGCCTTCCTCCTGTGCCTCAGGTTTCTCCCCTGTTACCCTGATCCCACACAGGGCTCTGAAGCTGATGTGCAGCTCAGGAGCAGCTTGGCCTGTGGAATGGCAGCTGCTGTTGGAACATTTCTGTCAAGAGCTTCTTGAGCCCTGGGCTCAGCCAGGGCTTGTCCTACCCCGAGCTCTTTCCTGTGTGCTCTCCCAGTGATACCAGTTTGGTATAATTGTCCTCAAGCTGCTTTATCTCCTGCCATGCAGCCTGGCCAGGAAGCAATTTTTTTTATTTCCTGACCTCCACAAGCAATTTTTGTACCATCTCCACCACCGTGGGTGGAGAACTCATGGCTTTTGAAGAGTTTTTGTGGCTGGACTGTGACAAAGACTCCACATTTGGGCCGTGTGGAGCTTCTGGGTAACCCCAGCTGCTGAGCTGGGTGAGGATGTGGCTTGTCAGGAGCTCAGCTGCTGCCCAGGGCTGTTCTTTGTCCTGTGCTCTGCTCCTGGAGCTGCTCCTGCTGTCATCTCAGGTGAGGATCTGTAGCTCCTGGCCATGGAAATAAATGGATTTTTTAATGGAGCTCCCCAAAGACAGGTCTCTCCTGCTCTGCTGGTTCCCTCCCAATGACTCAGGCCTTTGGTCTCCAGCTCCCCAAGAGGTGACAGGCTCTTTGCACAGGATGAGAGCTGGGAAATTCTTCTGGGCAGCATTTGGCAGCCTCAACAGAAAAGAAATCTCTGCTCAATGTCACCTTTGCAACCCTTGATTCAGAGCAGATTAAACGATGTAAAGAACCCTGGGGCAAAGAGGTGCCTCTCCTCAGCTCAGCCATGAATTTGCTTCCAAACTGCACAAGGTAAATTTTATTGGCTCAGTTTGGAAGTTGTTTAGAGACAGAACCTTGAAGAACACACCCTGTTGCCAACCCAAAGAGGGCACTCTGGGCATGGCAAACGCAGCAGAAATGTGCTGGAGGTGCTTTCCTTGTGCAACATCACCCACAGCAAAAACCACTGATAACGCTGCTCAGCTGCAGCTTCTCTTAGGCAGGTGAGTGACCTGGGGACTTTTAGACATTTTGAATTATAAGGTTTGGAAAATATTTGGAGTCTTCACATCTTTGTCCTTGTGTTTTTTATCCAGTGCTGCCACAGATGTTGGAATGGCCTCTGACAAGTCCCCTTTGGGCAGAGGTGAGCATAAGGAAAGGCAAACACTCCCCAGAAATGTGTTTTTGTAAATGAAATCCTAAACATCTGACGGAAGTGTTTGAGCTCCTCTTGCTGGGTCTCTTGCCAAATCTCCAGATTAATTTCCTCAGGTTGCAATATTTTTAAGCTCTATTGTAGAAAAGACAGGGGTTTATATTTTTGTCCTAAACCACAACACGTAGAAATAAAATATTTACTGACTGTCAGGCTGTGGTGGGACTGTGTGGTTTGCTGCCAGCTTCACTGAAAAGATGACTCAGAGTGCCTCGATGAACAGTGGGAGTGACAGAAATGCACTGGGGGGAAGATGCTGGTTTTGCGTGGAATGGCAGCCAGGGGTGGGATGGGATAGAACTGAGAGGGGCCCATGGGGGAGAGAATGTGATGGAGAGAGGAAATCCCCCCCAAGGACCAGCTCGGAGGTCCCTGGAGGGGGTGAGGAGAGCCTCTGCCCTGAAATCCAGGCTGGACATCTCTTCTGGAGGTTCAGAGGGCAGAAAATGGAGGCCATTTCCAAACCTCCAGCTTGGGATTCAGCTCTTGGAGCTGTGGCTTTCTCCAGAGCTGTTCAGGACGGAGCCAGTGGCCCAGAGAAATCCAAATAGCACCAGGAAAAAGGCTTTCAAATGCTAATGAGATTTATTGTTTTTATGTGTTCTTACAACACTGGAGCTACAGAAGAGGGGAGCAAGGAGGCAGCAGGTTTCAGAGGCAGGGACAGCAGCAGTGAAGCAGGAACTGGAAGTGTCCTCCTTGGAGCCTGGGCAACGCTGCAGCCCAGGGCTTGGGCAGAGGCCAGCCAGACATGCCACAAACGACAGGCTGCTCTTTGGATCCCTCTGATCTCCCTGTGCAGCCTTGCCCTGAGGGTTCCAGACGTGCCCTCAGCTGCTGGCACCTCTCTGGGGCTGTCCTGCAGCCGCAAGGGCAGGGTCGGGGCAGCAGCGAAGGAGCCCAGCGTGCAGAGGGGACAAACCCAGCCAGGCCACCGCCTCCGTTACAGAGGAGTCCTTGCCACATCCACGGGGAGCAGTGGCAGATGTTTCCCAGGAGAAAGGAAAGGAAAGCTGGTGAGGACGGGGCTCTGGAGGCTGAGCCCGGTGCAGGGGGAGCAGGGTCACGAGGACTTCATGACGCTGTGGACCCAGGGGAGGTAAGGAGCAATGTGGGTGTAGAAGCCAGGCCAGTTGTTGTGCCTGTAGGAGAAGATGCCAAAGGCTCTGTTGTTGCAGACCAGAGGATCCCCAGCATCACCCTGTGGAAAGGAGGAGAGGGATCAGTGCTGGCTGATGGGAACTCCAGGGAAGGAGTGCCTCTGCAAGGAAGAGAGGCTGCAAAGAGCAGGGCAGGGTTTCCCCAGCAGAAGCCAGGGCTCGCAGTGGATGGGATAACTCTGCCTCCACAGGGGGCTGGTGACAGCTTTGTTTGGGACCCAGCCGGGGGAACACTGCAGCTTTATTTCTACAAAACACACTCACACCAACAGTGAGATTCAGGGTGAACCCCCCTGGACAAACCATTATCCCCCTGTGCTGGAACTCCTGTGCCATGGGAACAAGGATCCTCTTCTCCTTGTGCTTTGCCCCTGGCTAAAACCTCCCCCTCCTCCTCCTCCTCCTCCTCCTCCTCCTCCCTGAGCAGACTGACCTTCATGGGCACCACGGAGGATTTGCTGCGGCCACAGACCAAGTTTTCAGCCAGCCCTGGGTAGTGGCTGAGGCAGTCCCTTTGCTTGATGATGGTCACAGTGGCTGTCCTGTTGCCCCAGCCGGCCACGCTGCACTCGGTGCCACCCCGAACTTTGGATTTCTCAAAGGAAATGGGCCTGACCTGCCCATTGCTGGTGGCATTGCCGTTCAGCTGGGCAAGGGGACAGAAACCACAGGGATGAGTGTTGGCCCTGAAATGCACGGAGCCCTCCTCAGCCCTGCACGTCAGCCGGGTTACCTTCAGCAGGAGGATGTCGTTGCCCTTCTTAGGGCTCTTGAAGCCTGGGTGGCTGTGGTACTCCTTGACCTGGAAGATTTGCATGCTCTCCTCTGCCCCTTGCAGCCCCTGGGCTCCCAGGATGACAGTCAGAGGTTTGTGCCTGGTGAAATCAAGCACAGGGGTGTCACCAGCTTGTCCCTGTCTCACAGTGCCTGGGAGCACCGAGGCTCATCTCCCAGGGCATGGCCAGCAGAATGCAGTTACACAATGCAAAGTATATTTGTATCCCCTATGCACAAAATCTATTCACCAGCACTTTTTAAGAAGAATGGAGGGAGCAAGGAGCTCTGCCAGTGAATCTGCCCAGCTAAGAGGCAGAGCAAGATCCCACCTGACAGACCAGAGCTCTGCAAGGTCTCCTTCATCTCCACACCTCAAGCTGGGCACATTGGATCCAATTCTGCTTCTCTCTTGTTCTGGGCTTCACCTCCCCATGGAAGTCCAGGGGTTTCTAAATCAGGATATTTCTCTATCCTCTACATCACCTGCAGAAAGTGCTGCCTCAGGAAAATTGGAAAGGACCTTGGGTGTGTGCAGGAGTCCCTCCCAATCTCCCAGGTGAGGCTCAGGCCTCCAGGCTCCTCCCTTCTGCTGCCAGGTGTGGGACTGGCCCTGAGCCTGGCACTGGCACAGGGCAGAGCTGTCAGCCCAGAGCTGTGTGGGAGCCACACCCAGAGCTGTGCACACCTGCAAAAATCTTCCTGCCCATCCATACCCCAGCTGGAGGGGTGGAAAAGGGCTGGGCAAGCAGCTGGAATATTCACAGGAATCTATTTCATAGGAAATAACTCTGCCAGCAAACAAGCTGGTGGCAGAAAGGACGAAGCCTGACAGCGGGTCAGTGCCAGCAAGGGAAGGAGCCACCCTGACCTCCCATTGTTGACATCTGGGAAAAAGAAAATGACTCATGGAGGGGAAAACAATCAGGGTAAATATCTGAGGGCGGGCTGGGGAGGGAGATGGGGCTCAGAGCTGTCCCCAGGCCGTGCCCTGCCCCAGGGAAGAGCCTGCCCTGCCTGCAGTGACTCCCTGTGAGCCCTCCACGGAGGAGACGTTCCCCAGGCCCTGGTGGGGCAGGCACCTCTCTGCACTGCTCTGTGGACACAGCAAAGACTTACACGAGGCACTGAGCTGCTGTCATCACCCAGCCAGGAGCCACCAGGAAGCCTCCACAGGACTGGTTGTCCTTCCCCAGCAGAAAAGCCACGTAGGGTGTGGGGTATATCCAGAAGGTTGCCCTGGCTTCTCCTCCTCTCTCCCTCCAAATCCAGGGACAATCTGCAATGGATGGGAGCTGGGGATGAGGTTTTTGGAGGGCCCAGGCTGAGATTCATCCTTCCCCAACCCTCTCCTCTCCTCTCCTCCAGCCCACCCTACTTACTGCTGCTGGCTGGGGGGCACATCACCAGCAGGAGGGGCAGCAGGAGGGGCAGCAGGAGCTCCATCACAGCCTTCTGTGGATCCCTGAGAGGTGAGGCTGCCTCTGGGGTCTCATCCTGCTCCCAGCAAGGTTTTATAGCCCCACACCAGACTCCAGGAAACCACAGAAGTCAGACTCATCTGAAGAATCTCTCCACAAGTTGCACATCTCAGCAATGTGAGAGGGGATTTCAGGCAGTCTTGGCTTTTGGGCATCAACCCACCTCCATCAGGGGTCTGATCTCAGAAATCTGACATCCTTCTAAACCCAGAGCCAATTTTAGAACTTCAGGTTTGTTCTGGAAGGTGTGGGCAATGCACCCACCCTCACCTCTGACTTTCAGCGAGTTCTTCCATTGCATCTTCTACCCTTGCAAACCCTCTTGATTTTTATCACGAGCCCCACATGAACAAGATTTCTTCCACCTGATACATCAGCTCCAAAGGCCGTGCAGGGGCCGGTGAGGACCCTCCTGCCCTCCCTCAGTAGCTAGTGGAGCAAAAACGGCCATGAATGTGTTTATTACACGGCACTGATGATACTGGGAGTAAATCCTTCCCTTGGAGGGCAGGGAGGGGCTGGGATGGATTTCCCAGAGCAGCCGAGGCTGCTCCTCCATCCCTGGCAGTGCCCAGGACAGGGCTTGGGACAGCCTGGGATGGTGGGAAGTGTCCCTGCCATGGCAGGGGTGGGATGAGACGATCCCTAAGGGCCCTTCCAGCCCAAACCATTCCGGGATTTTACAGCAAGAGCAAACCTGGGACACACACAGCTCACCTGTGACGAAACGGGGCCGACGCTTCCTTGCTGCCAGTAAATCTGCTTTCCCCTCTGCCTCCAGAGCCAACTGGGTAAACCCCAATTTTCAGCTACAATTTACCATTCTCGTGCAAAGCCTGCAGCAGCTGGAGCTTCAAGGAAAGCCCTGACGTGACAAAGATTCACAGTGCACAGATAAGCAGCTGCAGGCTGTTCACTTGCAGATTTCTGAGGCGATAGCAGCTGTGAGCAGCAGCCCAAGCGTGGACCCTTCTCAGCTTCCCCAGGCCTGCTCGGGTGCTGGAGGCACACGTGACTCAGTTTCCCTCCATCCCAGGAAAGAACATGGATTTGGGAGCAGAAATCCAGGCCAGGCTGTGAAAACCTCCTTCCTCTTCCTCCTCTTTTCCATGGGAAAAGCCATGAGAGCTCCTTTCCCCTGGACTGCAGAAGTTTTCGTGTATTTAAAATTCCCCCGCTGGTTTTTCCCACCACAAACCAACTCAGCTTCCTCCTGACATCACAGACATCCTCACCCCTGCCAGGGACTTCTGCACTCATTCACCAGAGCTAATTGTTGGACCTCTAATTGTAGAATTTTTTTTTTTTTTTTTGGTTAGGGTATGTAGTAATAATTGAATGAGTATTATTGTTATTAAGGTTAAATTGGTGTTGTAAATTTTGAATATTTTGATGGTAAAATTGATGTGATAAGATAGTTTGTTGTTTGTGGCTAGGAATTGCTAAGGTAATGCTAGTGATAAGAGTATTAGTTATAGTATTTTTTGGTGAAAAATTTAGGAAGTGTGGTTGTGAATATATCAGTGAATCTGCCCAGCTAAGAGGCAGAGCAAGCTCCCACCTGACAGACCAGAGCTCTGCAAGGTCTCCTTCATCCCAGCCCAAAATTATAAATTACAAAATATGATTTATTTTGTTGTTGAATTGTATTTTATAAATGTAGTAATATATTGAATAAAGGTTGGTGATTGAATTTTTTTTATTATTTTATTATTTTATTTAATCTCTGTCCCCATCATCTCTTCCTGGGAACTCTTGGCTCCCTCTGTACTCAAGAGATGCCACCAGAAAAGAGCCGGAATGAAGGAGATGAGGGCTGAGGGAGCAACCTGGTGCAGGCCATGGAAGGAAGTTCAAACTCTGTTGCCTTGTTATTTTGAAAGTTTAAAAAATCTTCTAAAAGTTCTTATGCTTTTTAATATTTACATATTTTAACTGAGCTTTCTTACACATGCTTTATGTAAATAACGATTGTTTTGTATTTCTTTTTGTGGGCGGAGAGAATTGATGGACTGTTGGTTTGCCAGCGTGGTTGGAGTGGTGGCAGTTTCACCCTCCAATCCACTGTCATTTTTGCTGTCGCATATATAGTGGAGTCAGAAAGCAAAGGTAGCTTTTTTGAGTTATTTTTCTTTCCTTTTACATCTAGTTATTTCATGTCAGAGTGTGACAAGACTCTGGTGCAGGAGCTGTCTGCAAACAGCATCCTTTGTGGGGAGAGCTTATCCTTGGGCATCATCCAGCTGAAGGGAGAGGTTTGGGCTCCCACTAGAGCAGCCTCTGCCAGGGGTGAGGATGTGCCAAGCTGCTCCCCAGCAGCCAGGAGTGCTCCTTGTCTTCTCCAGCCCCAGCTGGGCCCTGCAGCCACCAGGGAGGAGAGGAGGAATTGTGAATCCTTCACCAACCCTGCAGTTCAAGCCTTGCTGTGTTTCTCCCCAGGACACGCTGCAGAAACGGGGATGGATCCTGGCTGCTGGCAACAGGCAAAGCTGGATGCTGTGGGTGTGTGGCACTGGGATTTGGGGTGTGTGACACTGGGATTGGGATGTGTGACACTGGGATTGGGGTGTGTGACACTGGGATTTGGGGTGTGTGACACTGGGATTTGGGGTGTGTGACACTGGGATTTGGGGTGTGCCTCCTCTCCAGGATCCTAAAGCCCTGAGCCTGGTGTCCCAACAGCCGCCTGCCTACACCCAAGGGAGCAGCCCACAGCAAGTCCAGCCCCCTCCACCCAGTGAAGCTCAGAGGGATGGAGGATCAGCCTGGTGTGCCCCAGGATCAAGTACTGTCGGGATCTGAGGTATTGATGGTTCTGAGATTGTGGAAAGTCTCTGTCTGTCAGCCCCCTGCCAAAGCAGAAGCCAGAATTGGTCTGTGCTGGTTTCCAGGTTGTTTATTCTGTTGATCTCTCACATGTTCTGCTGCCCTGCCCAGCTCTGTCCTGCAGGGCAGCGTGTGGGGCTCTGCCCTCAGTGGGATGTTACAAACATTAAATACCAGAAACTCCCTGGGCTGCATTTACAAGAACGTGCCAATATCTGTCACCTACGTTGGACAGTGTGTCCCCAGCCTGAACAAACAGAAAAATGCCAACACCACAGTGAGACATGGAGGGCATGAAGAAGGAGAAAAAGGACAAGGCACACCCAATTTCCTCCATCTTGTCCCCTTTGGACCCCTCATCTAGAATCCTAAAATTTTACTTTTGCACCTGTGCCACACTTAATTATTACTGATATCAAACACTCAGAGCCTGTAATTCATCCTGTAAGATTGAAAACTCTTTTCCATGGCCAGAGATCACAGCCAGTGTCTCTGGGGGCTCTGTCCAGGGGGGTTCCTGACCCCTGCCAGGGTCCCAGGGCAGCCAGAGGGAAGCTCTGGATTCCCACACAACACCTGAGAGAGAGCAGCCTTTACTCTGAGAACAACCCTTTGGAGTCCTGGCACTGCTGATGCCCCTCAGCCCTGCTGCCTGTGCTCCCAGGAGGGTGGCAGCCCGGGAATTTGGTGAAGGGAGTGTGCCCCCATCATTTTCCCATCGCTGCCTGGCAGTTTTTCTCCTCGCAGCACACTCATCATCCCTGTGAGCCCAGGAAGGACAAGCCCAGCTCTTGTTTCTGAGCCTGCAGGGTGCAGAGCTGTGATTGCTGCTGTCCCAGCAGCCTCTCAGGTGCAGCAGCCAGACCCTCCCTCCTGTTAAATGGGATTTAACATTTCTCTCTCTTGCGGCGAGGCCACGAGAAACACAAACACACGCTGGGAGGTGCAGCTTGGAGTTTACTTTAAGTGCAGCAGGGTTCAAGCAGGAACAGCGTTATCTCTGAAGGAAATGGGGTTTGCTGCGGCACAGCCTCTTTTTGTGCCATCTGGAGCTACCCCTGCCTCTGCCAGGGGGGTTTAGCACAGCCCTAGACAGGAATGGGACAGGAGGAGTCAGAACAGAGTGAAGGGCGCTCCCAAGGGCACTGATCCATCACTTGAGCTCCCGAGGAGAGAGGAGGGAGCTGAGCCTTCAGCAGGGGCAGGAAGGAAACTCTTGCAGGGTCCAGAGCCACACCAGAGCTGGAGAAAAATGCTGCCACGGCCACTACTTCTTCATGACTTTTTTGATCCAGGGCAGGTAGTTGGAGATGCGGGTGTAGACCCCGGGTGGGGAGTCGTAGCCAAAGGAAACAATACCTTGTGCCACTTTATTACACACCAGGGGCCCACCAGAATCTCCCTGGGGAGAGATGAGATGGATTGGAGAGGTGTTTGGTACCTCTTAGCCGTGGTAACAGATTTACCCCGATCCCTCCCTCCCTGGGCTCCGCTCCTGCCCCATTTCCCACCCGGCGGAGGGGCTGCTGAGCTGGGGTGGGCTCTACCCCCCGGGGCAGGGAGTGTGGCTGGTGTCAGGAACCCAGAGAGCCACTCCTGCTCCAGCTGCCATCAAATGTCTGTCCCCTGCCCTGGGAGCTGCTCCTGCAGCAGCTCCTGCTCCCAGAGCAGCCCGTGTGCCCTGGAACTGGGAATGGGAACTGGGAATGGGAACCTGGGAATGGGGATGGGAACTGAGAAGGGGAACTGGGAATGGGAAACTGGGAATGGGAACTGGGAATGGGGATGGGAACTGAGAAGGGGAACTGGGAATGGGAAACTGGGAATAGGGAAGTGGAAATGGGAACTGGGAATAGGAAACTGGGAATGGGGATGAGAATGGGGATGGAAAACTGGGAATGGGAACTGAGAATGGAAAACTGGGAATGGGGATTGGAATGGGAAAGTGGAAATGGGAGCTGGGAATAGGAACTGGGAAAGAAAACTGGGAATGGGAATGGGAATGGGAATGGGAATGGGAATGGGATCTTGGAATGGAAAACTGGGACTGGAAACCTGGGAATGGGGATGAGAATGGGGATGGAAACTGGGAATGGAAAACTGGGAATGGAAACCTGGGAATGGAAACCTGGGAATGGAAACCTGGGAATGGGGATGAGAATGG